GTTGGAATTGCCCTGAATTGCTAAAGTCATATTTGTATTACCTCAACCTGGCAAATGTAAATTTTGTTGTGTAACAGGTACCTCCAATATAGACCATACAGAGAAAGCTCTAAGTATTTCCTCAATTAAGAAATTTTCACGTCTTTGCTCTTTCAGCTACCTTCCACTTCTGCATTTCCAAAACAGTTACTGTGAGAAATAGTGGAGGTGCAACACAGTGTTTGAAATGAAGTTTTCAAATCCCGCTGATACTTACAGCAGCATGAAACCAATTCTCTTTAGGCTACACTGGAAACTGCTTCAGCCAGCTCCAGAGCTGAGCTAGCAGTAAAGTCCATCTCCAGTGCTGGGTAAGAGGCACTGTGGTACATCCTGGGAGCCACATTGCCTCTGGTGAGTCACCACCTTCTCCCTCCTGCTGTGCAGGCATCCCACCTCTGCTGTCTTCCTGTCTCTAACACAGGTCCTGTCCCCAGCATGGGCCCTGTCTCAAGCCTGGTCTCCAAATTAGCTGACCCTGGGTCTGAATAATTTACTATTTCCTCCAGCAGAATTTTTTCCGCTGACAAGCTCCCATTTAATTTACTGTATGGGCAGAACCCCCCTCCCTTTGCAAGTACAGCACATGTCATCCAGGATATGCTGGAACTTTGGAAAAATCAGACATCCCATGTTTCACATCCTCCTTTTTTGGATAAGGAGGGAAGCATAAATGAATATTGGCAATGTTGCATTGATGATTTTAGTTTCTCATTCTTTTGGCTTTAAGAATTCCCATTTTCTTTTTCTAAATTAGTCATTACTCAATTAACCAAATAAAAATACAGCACATATTGACTTCATGTCACTCTCTCTTGTCACTTTCCCCACCATTCGAGAGACACTACCACCATCATGTCAAATAAATTTGTTTCAGGAAATTATAAATTTGCTTGATAAAGAGAACTATGCAGGTAGAAAGGATCTATACTCTTATAAAGCATTAGATTTAGTAGCTCAGAACATTTGAATTTAAAAAGTAAGGATTACGTGACAATGAAACATATCTGAAATAGCTTAAGAACTGAGTAACTAGTAGATCTTGAAACCTTATTGGCAACTGGGATTCATTATCAATGTATTAATGAAAATGTTTCCATTGTGAATATTAAGCATCAGTATAGCACTCACTGATGAAAACTTGTAAAAAGTGAAGAAAAGTAATTAAATCTAGACTTTCTTGAGCCTTTTTTTGAGACACTGCAAGAGATCGTTTTGTTTAGCTTATCAAAAGAAAACAAAAAACAAAAAGAATGCTGAGAAGTGACCTAATTAGAATAAGAAAGTATGTTTTTGGGCAAAACATATCTTTAATCTACCTGGGAAGGTGATAATATAAAGCAATGGCTTGGAGGTACACTTAGATAGCTTCAGACTAAAAAGTACACATATACTTTCTGTTATTGTTTTGACACCAAAGATAGTTAATGATTTGAGCAAAATACCTAAAGAAATGGCAAATTTTTCATCTTTTGATTCTTTTATATCAAGACTGGATATTAAACATTAAATGGGTATTATGGTATCTGATCTAGATATCACATGGAAGAAATAGTGATCTCTTATGACTGAATTGTGCAGGTCTATAGGAGTTGAACAACATTTAAGCTTTTTGGTTTCAACCTGTTTGAAAGAAAATCAAAACCCACTTTTGTGCCATAAATAACAGGGTTAAACAGTAAGGCTAATTGTAAATTAATGTATATCTCTACTAGACTCTCAAGTTTATAATAAAACATACATGAAGGTATTAAAATGCAGAGAGAAAAGACATCATTATTGTTTGGGTTTTTTTAGTAAACACTCGTGTAATGTTCTATCTTAAAAAATTAAAAGTAAAGTATTTGCATATATCTATTGGTGCTAAAATGATTACACTGAAATAATATAGTACTCTTAAGTAGAGGAAACATTTTAAATATTAAATATACAAAACTATAAAATAAAATACATTTATAGTTATATCATCCTATTTTTCCTTAAGTAGTTGCATTTGTTTCTTGAAAACCTTATACAAGATTTGATTTAGAGATACTCCTTTTAAAACATAATTGAGTACTATTCTTTCCTTAGACATTCTATTACATATTTATTTTACTAATTAATTTAGCCATACAAAAGTATGCCTATTTGAGGCTGGAGGCAGATAAACAGTTGTAAGCAAAATAACTACACATACACACCTACTTCCTGTAATCCACTTGAAATTGCTGGTGATACTTAAATAAACATAGCATTTTGTTCTGCTTCCCTCAATAGAAGTCACGATTAGAAAACAGAGTTCCATAATTGATTGCTTTGCGTCCTCTTATAATATCAGTGCCGGCCAAGGCTGAAGGAAAAGGATTTAAGATAACATACAATATGAACATTTTTGCATAGCATTAGTGCACTAAGCTGTTTTTTTGGTGCAGTAAGAAACTGTGACCTGACATTCCCAGAGCTCTGCACTCAAGGAGAAATGAACAGTGAGCAAGTCACAGCCAATGGTCAAAGAAGATGTACCCCTGCTGAGGAGATGGCGAGTGGATTGAACATGTAGTGGGTGGACTTTTTGGTGAAAAAGGAATTGGTTGGATAGTTGCATCCAGAGTGTAGTGGTCAACGACTCAGAGTCCTAATGGACATTAGTGACAAGTGGTGTCCCTCAGGGATCTGTATAGGGATCAGTGTTATTTAATATCTTCACTAATGACACAGATGAAGGGATCGAGTGCATATTTGCAGATGACACAAAGCGGTGCAGCTGACACACCTGAAGGATGGAATGACAACCAGAGTGACCTGGACAAGCTCAAGAAGTGGGTCCATGGGAATTTTATAGTGTTTAATAAGACCTGAGTCAAGGCAACCCCCAATATTAACACAGTGGATGGAGGAATCAAGAGCAGCCCTGCTGAGAAGGACTTGGGGGTGCTGGAGGATGAGAGGCTGGACATGAGCTGACAATGTGGGCTTGCAGTCCAGAAAGCGAACCATAATTAGGGGTTGTATCAAAAAAAGAATGGCCAGCAGATCAACTGAGATGATTCTACCTCTTTACTTCCCTCTGGTGAGATCCCATCTGGAGTATTGTATTCAGCCCTAGAGTACCCAGCACAGGAAAGACATGGAGCTGTTGGAGCGAGTCCGTACGAGGACCACCAAGATGATTAAAGGGATGAAGCACCTTTCCTATGAGAGAAGGTTGAGAGAATTGAGTTTGTTCTGCATGGAAAAGAGAAGGCTTTCAGGGTGGCCTAGTTTCGGCCTTCCAGTACCTGAAGGGAGCCTTCAAGAGAGACACTATTTACAAGAGTGTGTAGTGACAGGACAAGAGGAAATGGTTTCAAATTGAGAGTGGGTTCAGATTAGATATGAGGAAGAAATTCTTTACTGTGAGGATAGTGAGGCACTGGAACATTTTGGCCAGGTTGTATGGCGCTCTAAATAGCCTGGTTTGGCAAATGTTGTCCCTGCCCATGTCAGGGATGTTGGAACTAGATGACCTTTAAGATTCCTTCCAACCCAAACCATTCTTTGGTTCCATAATTTTACAGTATCCTGCTAACCTTCCATTAGTCCACTTTCAGCAGAAATATTAACCAGTGTCCTGTCAAAGATTGGAGAGGTGATTTAAGCCTTTCTCATCCACTGTTTTTTTAAAAAGACCACTCTAAGTTGATTAGATTCAGCTCATGCCAACCTCCCAGGCCCCACAAGGCAGCCACAGAAACAGTTTTTCGTAGAAGGATGGAAAATATCTGGCTGGTGTACTTGTACAGTGAGAGCCCAGTCCTGCAATGCTTATGCAAACAGCTCCACCAAAGCAGATGGAAATTGAAACATCAAATCCTAAATCAATTTAAGCATGTACCATTGGAGAACAGCAGCTCTCAAAGCAAGCTCATGAACAAGCACCAATTCTCTCCAAGCAGAGTTACAGAAGTAAAACTACAGAAAGGAAGTGAGTTTGAAATAGAAGTTACCTCTTCAGGCAAACAACACCAACACCTGTGTACAATCAGCGCTAATCGATCTTCTTTGGGAATACTCTGTCAGATCTGTCAGACGGCATGGAACTGATAAAAATCAACTTAGAAATTAATTCCCTCATCAACCTTTTTTCTTCTCTTTTTCTTTTTTTCTTTTTTCTTTTTTTCCTTTTCTTTTTTTGAGTTGTTTGGACCTGCATATTACTCACAGTAAATTTCAAGAGTTTGGCTGTTGAAATAATGGATGCAGTATGTTAATGTTGGTTTTAATGCATTTTATCTTAAAACAACCACATTTCAGTTCATGGCAAATACAGACCTATTTCAATACATTAACCCTATGACTTAAAGCCCCAGAAGGCCTTCTCCCCACTGCTCTTAGGAAGCAGCATTTCTGTCATTCTAAACATTCATACTAAATTCATCAACAGAAAACATTTCAGAGGAAAAGTAAAAAATTAAAATAAAATCAGAGGCACCTTTTAAAGTCCCGAGAAAACAAACAATAAGTAGAAGAAGTAAATACAAGCACTATCACTCTGCTATTCACTCGACCTCTCATGGGTGTTATTTTTGTAGGTACGGGAAGGAGGCAATCGAAGAAGTCGGGACTCCTTGATCCTTGCGGGTCCCTTCCAACTCAGGATGATATGGGGATGAGGGGGGGACTGGGGGTGCTTTCTGCGGATAGACATTTGTTTCCCAAAGCCTGTGACATTACTTGGTACACTGCTATGTGGGCACATACCCGTGTGTGCGTGCAGGCACAGACATACCGGCGATGCTGCCCACCCCGGCTATGCACTGCCCGCACGCGGCGGCCGCGGGCAGGGCTCGGAGCGGCGGGGCGGGCGGGCTCTCCGGGTGACGCGGGGCGGGCGGGGCGGGGCGGTACAAACGGGCCGGCTCCAGGCACCGCGCTCCGGCCGCGGCGCTGCCGGCCGGGCGACGCGGCGGCAGCGGGCGCTCCATCGGTGCGCGGCTCGCTCCCCAGCTCGCCGCTGCCGGGCGCGCTTCCCCCGGCTCCGCCGGCACCCGCGGGCGCCCATGGAACAGCGGGGCGAGCGCTGCCCCACGGCCCCGCGCCCCGGCGGTGAGTGACGCGCTGGGGAGGGATCGGCGCGCCGGGTGCTGCCCTGAGCGGCGCGGGAAGTTTTTGGGGTGGAAGCGGGTGCCGGGGCGATCGTGGATCGCCGGGGGTGCACAGGCGCTGTCGCGGGGCGCTGCCGCCCGCCCGGCACCTGCTGGCGGCAGGTGGGAGCCCCGCGGCCGCGGGAGGCGAGCGCCGCACGGCGCCGCTGCGGGGCTGGGCAGCGCGGGTGCCCGGCCGTGCGGTGCCGTGAACCGCCCCGGGAGGGACCCGCGGCGCTGCCCCGCGCCCTCCCTGCTCGCCGAGACGGGCTCTGGCAGGCAGCGCTGCCGGAGGGGAAAGGAGAGAAAGGAGGGGAGAAAAAGCAAAGCGGCCGGAATTACCTCCGGCATTACCTGGCCAGGTGTGGCCCTCGGGGCGCTTTTTCACCATCTTTCCCATGTGGCTAAATGACAGGCACACGTAAGGGCAGAGTGGCAGGGCTGTGGAATAGGGGTGCCAGGGTGCGAGGCTCCTACCTGACAGGAGAACATTTGCAAAGGCTCCGCTGAGCATCTTTGATGTGTTCCCACGCTGAGTGCTGGAGCCGGCTGGATGCAGTGTGCTGAACTGGAACCTGGCAGGCAGCTCAGGGCTGGAGGGAGAGTGGTCTTTGGGGGTTGGCCAGGAGGGCACAAAACCTTAACTTCAGCTCATTTCTGTTTTGAAGGACTGGCTTCCTAGAATACTACAGGAGAGGCTTGCTCACTGCAGTTCTCAGTGTGCTTTCTAGGGATAAAGGTGTGTGCAGTTCAAATCTTTCGGGGGCAAAAGGATGCGAGAGGGAGCGGTGGCAGACCCCAGCTGGAAGAGTTCTGATTTGGTCTCGTCTTTCAGCCAGACGTTCAAAAGATCAGGAAAGGGCACACAGCTAAGTACAGGCAATTCAATTACCTCAGTTGACTGGAAATTAAAGTATATGATTCTCATTCCTCTCTATGTTAGTGCAGTAGGTTGAGGGCTTTCCTTGTTTCAGGACTGTTCCTCTTTGGATACTGGTGCGGAAAAAAAATATCTGAGAAGTTCTAGAAATACCATGCTTGAATGGCATGGGAAGGGAATGTCTGCAGGGAGCATCTTTCTGGCACCAGAGATGCACTCACTGCCCATTCCCACTGAGAGCCTCTGCAGTATACATGGCAAGTGGAATGTGAGCAGAACAGGTTCCGTTTGGTGAATGCCCATGTACTGTCTGGCTATCAGACTTATTTTGTAAGTATAAATGTAATAACTGTTACAATTTACATCTGCTAGCATTTCTTGCCCTCTCGAACAAGTGTATTTCCCACATTGCTCAGAAACAAGAACATCTCGGTAAGAACACAGTCACTGCCATCAACTTCAGCTATGTCTTGCACATCCACCCTTTCAATACCCACCTTGTTTTGGTTTTTTTTTTCTATTTGGAAAATGCAGAGATTTTTGATAGTGCATAGCCAAACAAATGCCTCTGGTAGGTCAGCAGCAAGACTGCAACCGAACTAAAGCCAGCTACTGCAGTGGAGAGGCACTAATTTGACGGAGCAAATTCCACTCCCAGGACTGCCAAGTTCCCATCTGTGTCCCTCCCCTTGTCAGAATACTACCTGTGTTATTCTGAACTAGCCATATGCTTACACAGACACTACAGAAAAACAGAGTGGGTAGAATATATGCATATTCATATGACTCTTCTGCTTTTCATTAGAGGAAACCAAAAATGTTTTTATTAGTCTGACTAGCCTGGGATCTCTCCCCTCCAAAAATGCCACCCATAGCTTATAAACTATCAGAGTCGAAAAATATGTCAAAGCTGATGGATTAAAAGTTTTGATAATAAGAAAAAGAAAACTGTCATATGCCAAGGCAGTCCAAGATGGGAGATCCTGCTGGGTCATCTCACTTGTCACTCCAGAGCGTGAGGGTTCTCTCCAGGTCACTGTGTAGTGCTTCGCTTAGTAAATTGATTGGTTTAGCTAAATCTAATACAGTGATGACCTCACCAGTATGCACTGTGCTCCAGTGTTATTCTGAAGACAGGAGAGTGGAAAACACAGAAATCTACTTGGAATATGAACTAAAAGATTATTTGGAGGTTTGGGGTTTTTTTGTTTATTTTGTTTTTATTGTTTTGCATATCTTATTAGTATTTGACACAGAGCCCACAGCTACAGAGAATGGTGAGAAATTGCTTGTCAGGGGAAATGAGAATGGGATTGCTTAGTCTGTTGTGTTTGCTATTTTAATACATCCAGTTAAGGTGAGCCTTTGTACAGAAAGGAAGCCAGACAGGACAGAGCCATCCTTTCACACAGGTTGTTTTCTTGAGGACAGCTTTGATGAATTAGGAAGCAACGTTATTAACTGTGCAATAGATTTCTGCTTCCTAATTAGAATGGGACCCATTTTGCTTGGAAAGTGGAGTGGCGAGTAGTTTCTGGGTTTTGAATTGAGCTTTTGGGTTTATGGGGGGGACAGAGAAGTAGTGGTAGAGTGTACCCTCTTTATGAAAAAAGATGAATCTTGACAGTTGTTTAAAAAATTGCTAAAAGTTGGTAGGGGTATTCCATATTAGCATTCAGTACAAAAAATTCTGTGCATCCTGAGCTTTTCAAGTTTATTTTTATTCTGCTGTAATGTCCCATTTTATTTTTACCTGCATGAGGTTCTCTGAAATCTAGGGTATTCTCTCTTCTAAAAATTTTTATGATCTCTTGGCATGAAAGACTGAAATGGTCCCTTCTGACCTTAAGAGAAAGAGTGAATGTTATATATAACCACAGTCTATTATAAATTTGCTACCTTATTGCTCACAGTGGAGCTGAACTCCTTCTTTAGAAGTCATGAACTGGTGGCCTAGCTAATTTGCATAAACTGTATTTATCACAGCAAGTGCAGAAATACAGCAGATTTCAGCCAAAAATACTTCCTACCAAGTCAACCTTTCTCAGCTCGTGAAGTTCCCCCGACTAGGAATACACTTTAAAAGTCTTTAAGTTTTGAAGTCTTAGAGCTCATAGACAACATATCATCTTAACAGAACTGAAATTATGATTAGATTTCTTAACATGCTGACTATAAAAGTTAAAGCCATGGTTTATCTCTACTGGCTCTGCAGCAGTTTTAATATAATTTGGTAGATGTACCTAGACAGTATCATCTAGGCACTTGTAAGACAGATTCATACACTTACTTGTTATTTTGTGTCCCCTCTTAATGCGCAAATGGCTTTTTTTATATATTATGAGCTAATCAATAGTTTATCCCCCTAGAGATCTATGGTTTCAGTAGTATGTACTAATTTATCTAATTTATTATGCTTGTCTCTGTAGCACTCACTAATGTAGGCAATTACTTGTAGTTAATTACTGGAAACTAGAATTCAAGTATTTCATTGACACATTTTTAAAACTTTTGTTAAAATGTGATTAAAAACATGTGAGGGGGGTGGTATAGAAAGCATTTCTTCATGAAGAGGGTATTGTGAGACAGTTCAATATTTAAAAATAACAAAATACAGAATATATTTCCAAGAAAACACACATTTCATAAATTTGGTTAAATTTAAAAAAGAAAAAAATGCTCACTTTCCTTTCCTGCTCTTGATTGAGTTTTAAGTGATAGCTGCACTAGGGAGTTTTATGTCAACAGAGTACAAAGTGGCACTTGATGAGCTCATATAAACAACTAAGGAATATATCCTGTGGTGGACACAGTCTATTCTTAGGAAATAAATATATACTGTTCATATCAATGAGTTATTGAAGAATTTCAAGTACACTGCAATTGATATAGTTCATGTTTTTTTAATATATAACCAAATACAAATGTTCAGATCACTGACTGTTCGTCAGTTTAGAAAGTTGTTTTTAGAGTTGGTTAGCTCAGTTAAGGGAATTTTTCTTTTCCAATAGGAGAAGCCAGCATAGCAGATGTGTGGGTTGTACTGCACAGCTACTTTTAACCATCAATGTTAGTCTTATATTTTGCAGTACTGAGTGCTGAAATATGTGCAAGGGAGAATACAGTCCACAAACTGTCCTGAGGTTCTATCACATCTGCAAAACTAAATATACTTTATATGAACAGAATGTCTTACTCAGATTTTCAGCTCTAATCTCCCTCTACAGACAAACTTTAGTAACTGAACTATGGCTCTCATTCAGGCCAGAATCTATTTTTATTAGATGCCTGGGCAGACAACTTTCCAGTGAAAGGCTTCAGTTCTCCAAGGAGAGAAAGTGAGGACATTTAAAACTTAACCTGTTTCTCCACAGTCCCGAGAGAATCATAAAAACACAGCTTCTGTTTGATGAAGGTGAAGTCATCTGCATGCTTACAGAGAGGATGTAATCCTCCCTTTCCTATTACTGTTCTGGCAACTGTGTCCCATTAGCTCCACTAAACCTCTGTGTGTTGCTGTGGCCTTTTTTGGGGAAGTATGTTGCTGTCAGATCTGCCAGCAGAACCTACCTGATGCTTACTGACTGCCCTATAGACACTCTTTATGTTTCCACCTACCCACTTGGACAGATAACTTAAAGGTTCTTATGAAAGCTCAGAGCTAAATCTAATCCCATTCCATTCCCAGCAAAAATGAAGTTATCAGTCTGGGCAAAAACTACCTTATTATTTTTAAATGGGTATTAAACTAAAAAGTATATATAATCTAGACAGTTTAGGCAATGTCATTGAGTGAGGATAAATATATTGAGGCATTGAAATACCTTGGTTATATGGTAAAAAATAGAAGTCATAAAATAGAGATATGTTTCAAAGAGCACTGTAATATGCTTAAAAGTCAATGCAATATGGCAGCTGTGGCCCTCACACTGCATTTACTGAGAAAAGCTTCCATTTATTTCCAAGTTACTATTACTATTGAAGAGGTTTGAATCATAAAAACTGATTTGATTGGGAAAGTCCACATGAAATCTTGTTGAATAAACAGGATAGCACATTTCGCTAATTAATTGGGGAAAGCTGAAGAAAAGATTAAGCAAAAGCAATCAGACTTTTCAAAAAGTCTTGGTATAATTGTCAAAGCACCATTTAACATAAACTGTGTTTCTTTTACAACTTGCTCATTTACTTGAAGCAAAGGCAATAGTAATGACTGTCAGTTAAATTTTTTGTATTAATCTGGAATACAAAGTCATGGAGTGAAGTCATGTATGCCCTGCGTGAACTAGTGGATGCAGTGAAGAGAATTTTTAAAGCAGAAAAGTAATTTGGCAGGGTGGCTGCTATAAACTTCTCAGTGCATGCTTATTATTGTTGAAAGAGTTTTTCAAACCCACAAGTTATAAAGCTATACATGTTTGCATCCTTTTATATAAACTGCTGTAATTCTAGACACCAAGCTACAGATCTACATAAAACACGAAAGATGACATAAGAGATGAAAGCTGAATGACAACCATTTTATATTCCTGGAGACCACTTTGCCCGCACAACATATGTTTTGTGCTGAATTTAGAGGCACACTCATGTCCATTGTGTTGCATTAGTCTAACACAACAAAATAATTGATCCAGATATCAAGCCTATACAGTTTTGGAGAAACAAAAGAGAATGGAAAGAGAAGTCTGACAAAGCTTTATTGCTTGCAAACAAAACAACAATAGCATACAGGTACTTTAGATGGCATAATTACTAATATGTTTCATTGTGACCGCACAAAGTAAGTGGTACAGATACCAAAGCAGTGTTCTGCAGTGGCATATGTGCACGTAAGCAAATAGCTGGGGAGGAACAGTGAAATTCTGTATGTCTGAAACAGAAGATATTCCCCTGCTATTCTGAGGTTTCATACTGCAACAGAAAACAGTTGCTTTATTTATAGAAAAAGCTCTTCCTCGAAAAAGTATTTGAGTTAAGAATGGGAAGACACTGAACCGGGTCTCCACTGAGGCTCAAAAAGCTGTCTGAGATGAGGCCCCAGGTACCACACTTGTAATATCCCACAAGTCTGATTTCAAAGAGCAATGCTGGCCAAAATATGAGAAGAGCTACAGCTAAGAGACACCTTGCTGTGTCTTTTCTCCAAAAGTTCCTATGCTGTACTCAGCCATAGGAAGGTTTGCATAAAAAAGTAGGCAACTGAGTAGTATGCAAAATAGGAATTATAAATTAAGTCTCCCAATGAATTTATATATATAGTTCATTATTAAAAACAAACAAAACCAAAATCCGACACCCAGCCCCCCCCCCAAAAAAAAAAACCAAGAATAACAAAAACAAACAAAAAACCCTAATACAGGAATGTGTTGTCTCTAATATCTGAGGCCAGCAGCTAAAAATTAATCTCTCCAGAGACAGTCTATCCCAGAGCTTGCAATAGCACATTTCAGTCTGACTTTTAAAAAATAAGAGTTCCCTCCATTAGGCTTTAACGTAACTCCTTTCAGGACAGTTCAACCTGTTCCTCCCTGGAATCCTATTATGTTTTTCCAATAAGGTGTTAAGGCAACAACTCAGACCTGCTATTTATGGAGCTAGTGACTTAAAATATACACTGAAGTAAGTGGCTATTCCTTTAATCTGTGACCTTAAAATTCAGCAAGAGTTGATGTTTTGTTGTTCTTATGTACTGAGCTGCCCAGTCACTGATCCAATCTTTCTGGTGCTGTGTTGTTTGCTCTCATTTCTGCTGAATATGGTGGCAGCATAGCTCAGTGGGGACATCCACCATGAATTTACCTATATCGAATTTCCTGTCATTCAGTGTCTCCCCCCACCCACATCCACAATGTGAGGCTATCGGCACTGTTTCTTGTTAAAACTGAAGTAGATTAAGCTGAGAAAGATTAACAGGAATGGTGAGGACAGGGAAAGAGAGCAGAAGGCTAATGACAGCAGCGAAATGACTTTCAGCCAGAGAAAACAGTGACCAAGAATGGAAAAACAACAAATTCCTTTGCAAAGTTGCCTCATATCAGACATCACAGAACAGCCCAGGACATGACCCACCTGAGACAGGGCATGCCCACGAGCTCAAAGCCTGTAGGCATAGAGGAAGGCATTATTTTGACTTCCCATCTCTCATGGCACTTTACTTCCCTCTCTTCCCGGCTTTGATTTCTTCTTCCTAACAATATTGCTGGCTTGTAGCCCTTTAAAAATGAAAAAAGAGAAAGCACAGAAGTGATAATCAGTAGCAAACATCAGGAAGCAGACCTGCTCCATTCAGGATGGAGTCATGACCTCTGTAAATGCAAAGCTATCAAACAGAACTTTAGATCCCTTAGAAACACATCATTAGTCCTTGTTGCACTGGGACTTAGCTTATTGTGGAAAAGTCATTAGTTTCTTTTCACATTCTCTGGAGAGTTTCCAAAACCTAACCCTTGCATTTCCTCAGGTTGTTCATATGTAATTTCATATTTTAGCCCTTGTTAGCAGGTACAGTACATGCTGTTCCAAGCTTAAATTCATAATTACAGTAACCTACTAAGGCAAAGCAGTCAAGTGCTCAGCCATCATGGCTTCGACTTCTAAATGGAGTTAGACCGTACCAAAGTCATACACCAGCCCTTCACTGAGGCTTTAAAATTTTTGAAAGGCATCTTAATTCAGGGAGCTTGTGTACACAGCCTGCTCATAATGTGACAATCTAACAGCTAAACTGTGTGTGAAGCTATTACAATTTCACTTCAAACATTGCATTAAAAACACGCTGACCTTTAAATGGTGTTCAGTGGTGGTATTTAGTAGTCTTTTGACAAGGTCTAAAGTTAGTTCTTTACATCACAAAAGCTTGCTGGCTAACTCTCAAAATGACCTACAGAGGCACCCACTGTATTTTCTTTCCTGAGTATCAAGACTGGAACCAGAATTCCTTTACTGTTATGTTGATTTAGTCATACTATAGTCTATGGGTTCATTATCTTGCTTTTTTATGGAGCCAGGGTGCATACCACCTATTTTATCCTTTGAAACCCTAAGCACAAAGCAAAAGTTAACTTCACTTAAAAATGACACAGAAGATCAACTTTTCCTTGATCTTCTATTCACCCAGAGCTGTTCCTAACTTATTCCCAGGAGAATGTTGCTTTGTCGTGGTTGGGCAGCTCTACCTATGTAGCATAAACCTTTTTCCCAGGAGGCTTGACTTCCAAGATTGCTGTCACATGGTGCTTTGGGAGACTATAATACCCAGACATCCTACAAGTCCCCTCATTATAAGAATGCTCTTTTGGTCCAGTTCACAACTTTTCCTTTTATATGCTCTGTTTCTAAGAAAACCTTCTCTTGTAGATGAAAAAAAGCACTTAATTCTCTTGTGATTGAGGTTCAACTTCAAGGAAATCAGATTTTTAAAAAAATAATAACATTCTAGATGAATCTTGAGTGCAAGAGAAAGATTCATAATGTTTGTATCTCCTGATGACTGGAAATCATTTTCTCATGGCATTGTTATGCATGTTTTTTAAAACATTTATTTACACCAAAATATCTATGAGCCTAGAGTTGGGAAAGCTGAAGTTTTTTGTTCAGTTGTGAAAAGCAGAAGATATTTGCAGTGTGGCTTTAGTAGTGCTATGTCTGAATATAAAATAATGTGCTTTTTCTTTTTCTTTTCCCTCTTTCAGCGAAGTTTCTGCTTGAGAAATACACATTCACTCAGCAAAACAAAAACAGCTTTTAAAGGTTGTTCTCGGTGGAAATCACTCTATGCCCTATTACCTGCTTGAGTGAAACCAGACTAAGAACTTCTGTCATGGCAGCTTTTCTGCTGGGAGCTGTGTTGCTTATTGTTCAACCTCAGATAGTGCCTTCCAGACCAGCTATAAATTCGAATGCTGAGACTTCTTCTCAGTCTGTTCAGAGAGAGCTTTTAAAGAAAACATCTCAGAAAAATGACTTCAAGGAAAACGTTCATTCTAATGGATCATGTCAGCAGCTGCCACAGACTATTATTATTGGAGTGAGAAAAGGTGGAACAAGAGCTTTGTTAGAGATGTTGAGTCTCCATCCAGATATTGCAGCAGCAGAAAGTGAAGTTCACTTCTTTGACTGGGAAGATCATTACAGAAATGGATTGCAGTGGTATATTAATCAAATGCCATTCTCTTATCCCCATCAGATCACCGTGGAAAAAACTCCAGCATATTTCACATCACCTAAAGTGCCTGAAAGAGTTTATAACATGAACCAATCGATGAGACTACTCCTTATTTTAAGAGACCCAAGTGAAAGAGTACTATCAGATTACACCCAAGTGTTTTACAATCACATGCAGAAGCACAAGCCGTATCCATCCATTGAACAATTCCTGATTAAAGATGGTGAACTCAATGTGGACTACAAGGCAATAAACAGAAGCTTGTACTACATTCACATGCAGAACTGGCTGAAGTATTTTCCTCTTGATCATATCCACATTGTAGATGGGGATAAACTGATCAAAGATCCCTTCCCAGAAATAGAAAAGGTTGAGAGGTTTTTGAAGTTATCACCACAGATAAATGCTTCAAACTTTTATTTCAATAAAACTAAAGGCTTCTACTGCCTAAGGGACAGTGGTAGAGAGCGCTGTTTACATGAGTCAAAAGGACGAGCGCACCCACAAGTAGATACCCGGTTACTCGAGAAACTGCATGAATATTTCCATGAACCCAACAAGAAATTTTTTGAGCTTGTGGGCAGGACATTTGATTGGCACTCCTTTGTGGCAAGTTAGTAGTAAGCTTCAGTACCTATGTTCCAGTGTACAGTTAGAAAAATTAAAAAGGGCATTTAAAGTATAATTTATTTGTAAAATCCATAAATACTTCTGTACAGTATTAGATTCACAATTGCCATATATACTAGTTATATTTTTCTACTTGTTAAATTTGAAAGCATTTTGTATTGTTTTTCATGGTTGTTAACATTGTGTATGATGTGTCTGTATGAAGAAACTAAATTATTTCATTGCAGAAGCTGCTCTCTTGAGAATGTGTTGTCTTTTTAATAAATAAGAAATTAATTTCAACAGAGTCTTGCTGAATTATTTGAATACTTTGGCCTTCCTGGACTATTCAGGATGTTTTTTTCCTCTAATTGCTAATGAATATGCTAAACTTTACATTTCCATTTATCTTGCTTTAATGTGTGGTTTAATAATTTATTTTTTGTTTGAAAATATTGTTGTAGTTAACAAATTGTTCCATCCTGCTCTATAAAATTATTTCCTGGTAAACTGGTGGTACTCACGTGTTGGGACATGCACACTCAAATGACAATGGAAGTCTCTGTGTAATATGACATGTTAACTGCTATACTTACCTTACCTTCATATTTACTGTTATAACAAGTGCTCCTCAAATTCTTTGGCAGTACAGTGCAGGTTTCATGGCAGATTTTTAAAGGTTCTGTGGGGACCAGCTCATAAAATCTAATTAGCTGTAGAAATATGGTCAAACTAAAAACTTCTTACAGTCTCTGAATGTATATATACTTCATAAAGAAGTAGGGTTGAGAGAATTTAAGCAATATAGAGATTTTTTTCAAGGCTACTTAAGACTGTTCCTACATTTTATACCACATTTATGCTTTGCCATCGGTGAAAATGAACACTCACACCAGAAAAATTAGTTGGTCTACATTCCAGTAACTATCAACCTTTTTCATATAAATATTACCATACTTTTACCCCACTTAAAGCTGTTTTCCATGAGCTGAGAAGTTGCTTTATGCAACTGAAAATTGCCTATGGACTATTGTTTGTTTAATCTCCTTCCAAGAACCTTTATGCCAAGTCTTGATTAGGCATGTGCTATTGGATTAACCCAAATTCCAGGAACTTTCCTTGTTTTCTGTATCTGGTAAAAATGGAAGTTAGATGTTAGTGCATTGGTAAAAATTGAAGCTGTCCTTATCTACAGTGGTTATGATTTCTTGTTAACCATCAGTTTCTGGAATAGGAGTTAATCCTATTTCCACACAAGGCTTCCTACAGTACTTTCATTCTGAGGTCCTAATTTTCATTTTATGATCTTGAGTTTAGTTTCAAATGTGCAGTGGCAACACCCAGTAAATTTGATCTTGTAGCTGATTGTTACAATCCTTTGTAAAATTTAAATGTAGATTCATTAATTTTTTCTGGTGAGCTGGTGCAAACTTGGGCACTATGACAAGGTATAGTCTTGGATACAAATATCCCATATTACGCCTCTTGCATGAAAATTTGCAGGTGCTGCCCCTCTCTTCTCCCACTCCTTGTGTACCTGCCCAAGCTGTATTCAACCTCAGAGAGGTTGGTGGTATTTTATAAATTAGTCCTTTGACAAAAGCCTACAATGAAATGGTATTGTACTCAATAAAATATTTTCTGAATTGCATTTTTCCTTTCTCTTTTGTTCATCAGTTTCTAGTCTGGAAGACCAGAATCTGGGATTTAAACCCAGTTTAGCTTCCAGTTAAATGTTACTTAAGAACTCAGTTGTAGCCTAGTGGATTGATTAGAAAGCAGTTGTTTGCTACTGGATTGTGCCTGAATGGTCCACTGCTGACCCACAATACACAACAAGGAGAGAAAGTTTCTGATGGCAATAATGTCAAATACTACATGAAGCAGGTGCCAAAAATAACACAATTATACTACATCGTGCTTCTAATAAAGTTTTAGAAAGGAGAATTTCAGGGGATTTATTATAAGGTGGGACAGCATTTTTTGTCTGCATTTCCTTCATAGTGTGATCTTTGCAAGAGCCAGATGGACCAGAGAGATGCTGGCCCAGAAAAGAGACTTCCTGCCTTAGTATAGTCCTGCGTTCACTACAGTCACAGACTGATCTCACCAAATTCACCAACTTTTTGCTGGGAAAAACAAAATACTACCAGGGCATGTGACCAGGAACCAGAGGAGCACAAGAAGGCAGGATTGCAACAAGTCCAGCTGCAGCAGGTCACACAGTATAGGGCATCAGCATTGAATTGTGAATGTCCAAGCAATATGGAGAGCTGATGTTGGTACTGAGGATATTTTTAGTGTATTATGCTGCTTGATTCCAGTATTTTGCCTGTCACTAAGCAGGACACGTTTCTCCCCACCCAATATTGTTTGTTTGTCTCTGTAGAAAAGAGAAGTAGAGCATGAATCATTGGGTCACTATTACTGTTTTAGTGCTAGAAACTCATAGAGTGTTCTCTGCAGGATCCAGAGGTGAAGTGACCACTTCAGGGGGACATCCTGAAGCAGAAATTCATATGACTCATGTCCTAGACCCCAAATACAAAGAAGTTCGCAGAAATTTTATCACACCAAATGCTTACATCCTGTGCAGCGATGACATCATTGTACAATACCATATCCTGGAGCTTGCACAGCTGGATATTCGGTAGCTATGACGATGATGGACAATAAATCACACCCACACTAATAATTTAAAAATATTTACCTACCATAGATGCATAAGTTCAAGAGTTACAATTCTCAAAACTATTCTGAGTGTGAATGTTCAGTTTAACAAGAGCAAGTTTCATTTTCCACATGTGCATTACTGTAGTTAAATGTATTTGCTAGGCTATTCCTAAAGAAGTGCTAGACAACAACAAAAACCACCTGAAGAAAGTGAAGAGAGAATGAAAGAAAGAGACTGAAGCATATTCCAGTTGGGACTGTAGAAAAACTGATAGCTTTGAAGTCATGCCATAAAAGAAAAAGTCCCTGAAAATACTTTTCCAGTGTTATGCAATACAGGTGTTTATTTCTGTAAAACTCGACCATCTCAGGTCTAAAGTACAACCACTTGGGTGTTGCTCAAGAGACCTGCTTCCTTGGGGCAGCTAGCCAAGTTTGTGATCACTCTTGCAAATATAAATACAAAGCTTTATGAGAATTCAATGTCCAACTCAAAGCCTGGCACTCCCCTTGAGTACAAGAAGAAATGCCAGTCAAATAATTAATCAGGGTGGCACTAGAAGACTAAGTCTTGCTCTTTGCGTCACAGCACAGATTAGTGTGAGACTTTGAAAGCCATATATTGTACCTTCAGAGGACGAAGTGATTATCCTATGAACACCGCTGGAAGATTATGGAAAGGGAAAAACCACAAGTTATTACTTCAGCAAGAGTACTGCAACATCTACTGTTGGTGTTGTATAATTTTGTTACATGTGCTTTGCTCTGCCTTATACCTTTTTTTGCTATTACAGGTGAAATAACATCTACCGTCCTTGAATAAATCAACATTGTCTTGAAACACATCAGAAAAAAAATCTATCCATTTTTAAATCTTGCTACATTTATTGATGAGTGTGTGAAACTTACCACCACAGAATATTTTAGATGAAAACTTTGTTAGTTTGTTTCTCAAAGCTGATCATTTTAGGTTTCCTTGTGTACTGCCATTTTCAGAGTCAGTTTCTGCAGAAAGCCAGGATTCTCATTCCCTGTTGTCATTCAGACAGATTTCAAATGTCTAAAGAGAAATTCAATGGGGTACAGCATATTTCCATGTGTCTTTCTTCTACTTAATCTAACATAGCTGACCAGATATTTAAGAAAATACGCACTTGTACTCCATAAGTAAGAGGCTGTGCATCAAAACTACTTCTAAGAGGAACATTCCTTCTCCTTTCTCTTTTTTGAAATCTCTGACTTAAATGTCCTAATTCAGCTCACATTGTGAATGAGATTTTACAGGAATATATTAGTAGATGTTCTCTACTACAATAAAAAAGTAATAAAAAGTACAATAAGGCAAAGGAATTAAATTAAACTAAAATATATCAACAAAATATGTTGAACTTGCTACTAGGTATATACCAGCTGAAATAGTTGCAAGCATGTGCTCCATTATTTTCTCACTGTTAACCCAATACCTTTTATTTATATGACTCTGCCTAAATGCCCAGTTATGCCAGAGAGATCGTATGCTCAATGTTAATTACCTCATTTTTGCAGTGGATTGGAAAGGCAGTTACAGGTGGAAGCCATGCAAATATCTAATGAGTGAAAACAACTTTTATTAAAAATTTGCTTACAAAAATAAATGAAATTGAAATGATGTCTCCTAGAATATTAATAAAGGAGAATAGTACCCTCTTTCCTGCAAAAATAACCTACCCACAGTAAATTTTCTGCTTAATTACCACACAACATTTGATGTAGTTTCTAACTTAATAGTGCAATAAACTCAACAGTGATGCTGCAGATTTTAAATGCCTTCTGGGAAATATAAAATATGCAAGTCAGTGTGGGGAGCAGCTGGATGCATAGGAACATCTGGTCTGATTGGTCTGAGATCTGAGAACACTTTTTGTTCTTAAATGGTAAGGACATTAAATGTTTGGCTTGAAGATCTCTTTGTGTTGTCTATGAAATCAATGACTTCAATTATCTTCCAAGTCAATAATCTGAGCATAATGACATCATCTTTATACTTGATATTGACATCATTCTCTGCCAAAACACATTTTAAGAGCCAAACCCCAGATAGCAGGTGCATGAGGGATCCCTTAGTATAAAAAAAAATAAATTGGAATAGAACTCAGACACAGCTTCAATTACAAAGGCACATTGCCTTGCACAGAGGAATCATCTGAAATGAAGGGCAAAATTCTTCTTTTCGTAACTTGGATGAGGATTACAGAACAAGGAACATGTACACCTTCACAGCAGATTAACTAAGATATGCTCCCCTCCTTCATTTTCAATCAATCAGTCAGCAGTATTCAACAGTAAAGATCAGGTCAGCTTCCAGGACCCAATACAGTTCAATCCAGATAAGACTCAGTTACAGAAAGAAGAGTTCTTGCAGTATTTCTTACACCAAAAAGACTTCTCAGTGTATCTCCTATTACTTAAATGTATATAATTCCTCTTTTCTCTCCTGGATACAGCTGTATCACATCTGTCCTATTAATTATTACATTGTCAATCTATAAGAAAATAATCCATGATATGATGATTTTTTATAGAATGCTATTCAAATGAATGGGAAATCACATCATTATGGGGTTCAAAATATACTTTGTGTATGTTTGCTCTGGTGTATTTTAAACTTTATTTGAATAAAATTCAGTCTATTTGGTCCATGTCATTGCATTACAGGAGGAGATATTGTCACATGCAAGTAGTTATCTAATGATAAATGATATTTTATAAATAGAAACATATAATCAAAGTCAGACATTTTTCTTATTGCTAGAGTAGCAGCTATGGTATTGGCAATATTATGAGACTTTTACCCATAATACAAATGATAGTATTATTTTTTGGAAACAGGAGAAGCAGTCTGAGAACCATTCCTTTAACACATGTGGGAATAAGGTTTTTGTTTCCTCTGTGACCTTGTTTAAAGTACAAAGAGCAGGAATGCAAGTTATGTTCTCTAGTCAATTAACAATAGTTTGATGAAGTTTTCCTAAGTGAAAGGTATCAAAAGTCTGCATGTTTCAAATGCAAAGGAACTGGAATGATACCATATCTTGTTTATTTTAATGTCTTGTAATTTTCTCGCCAAAGTATGTGTTCCTGTGCAAGGGGAATAATAGAGGGCAAAAAGGAAACATGCAGCAGAAACAGAGCCCCTAGTCCATTTTCACTGTCTGCACTGGCTGGGACCAGGGCTAGACAGCCACATGAATAGACAAGGATGCTGGAAGTGAGGGAACACTGGATACAGGGGAACATCTTATCATAACCTCGTTCCCTATGTTCACATCCTTACATATGATGAACAAGCACCCTCAAGCAAAACAGCTTCTTTCTCAGTTCTTGTCTGTGGGACCTGAATGGAGAAAATCCAAATCCATCTGAGTGTCAGTTGGTTTCCATGCCTTAAGGCCTTTTTTGCAAGTCAGTGCAGTATATTGCAATTAAAATTATTATTCACCTAAGTGTCTAATCTTCCCCTTTCTTGTTTTTAAATTTGTACTAAGTTTTCCATCTGCTACAAATAAAAGAGTTCGATGAATAAATTATTTACAGCCTGCAGGACAAGAAGAGTTTATATGAAATATTTTGCAGACAGGAGACTTCCAAAAGAGAATATTTTCTCATGGAAAAAAGAGCATCTGTGGACCAGTTGGTTTCTTGCTGACTAAGCCAACTGGATATGATACTACTTTTGGCAGCTTCCTTATTCTTGTGTGGGCTTCAGTTATATGAATTCCATAAGATATTTATTATTGAATATAGCTATATATTGAATACTATGCATATGATGTGTTAGGATGTTGGCATTAGTTGTCTAAGTTAATTATTTAACATCAAATGATGTTAAAATCCTAGTGCCATTTTTTCATACTTAATAAACTTGAGTCAGATAATGTTCAGACATTCATAAATGGGGGAAAAAAGTAAAAGTTGAACTGCCTCTAATGCTCCTTTTTG